AAAATTCAGATATATAGAGAATATGAAAAGAGTTTTTTTCCTGATCATAAGTTATCATTTCTTGCTCACAGAACTGAGCAAGTGAGTAAACTATTTTGATTATGGGAGATGTATTCATAATTCCTGAATCAAGGAATTTAATGGAAAAATAGAATGACTAGTATGATTCTAAGACCAGAAATCTGTCACAAAGAGAAACTAAAAAGGTGAAAAAAATATTCACAAGTCTAGGTGTATATAAAAAGAGTGAAAGAACACACAAAAAACCTTGAAATAGATTATAAGTAGCAGAATTTGGAGGAAAAGTGAACATAAATTGTGTCTAGTAGAAAAGAAAAAAAAAAATCCTAAAAAAGATGTCCATTCATTTAGTGATATATGGGCCTATATGTCAGATATGTTAAAATGGTCTTATATAAAAATACTTGTTTATTGACTTTAAGCTTGGATAGTGATGCTATATTTATGACATTGGAAGAATACCCAAATCCCAGAGAAAACACTACCCAGGGGTATGTAAATATGAGGGTAATATGTACCAATAAGAAAACTAATTTTATTTTGAATCTATATATGCTCTTACCACACAATTGAGCTCAACAAATTATGAAAACTCACAGAAGGCAGACTGTGATAATGAAGGGAGATAATGAAGGGATTGGAAGAAATGTTACTAAACAAAACATGTTCTATAATTCCAATCAACTAAAAACTTGAAGCGCTCACAGACATATTCTAGATGCCTACGAGAAGTCTCCCAAAATGAAGTTTACTGAAAACTGGTCTAGGTAAAGTGTCAGCAATATTTTAAGTGCAATGTTTAAACATCTGATATCTTTACTTTTTTTATGATATGGGTGAGTTGAATTGAAATTTCAAAAGGGAGCACAAGTTAGCAAAAATAAAAGTTAGGTCAGAAGACAGAGTGATTTTTTGGCGTACACGGACTAGTCTAAATGTTGTATACTACGAAGGCAGCATGGGCTGTGACACTTTTCAATAAATGGTTCCCTTTAATCCTGATTCTAGAAATTCCATGGCTTTAGAAATTTAAAAAGTCACTACGTAAATGTAGTTTTTTTCACTTTATTCGATATAATTTGTTGTTTTATGACACTTTAAACAAATGAAAGAAAGAGTTTCACAAGTATATTTTAGATGTAATTTCATTGGTTATTTTTCTTATGACTGTCTTCAGTTTTTAGGGATTATGTTTTTTGGCAAGAAATCAACAAATTTCCAAATAACATATCCTTATACCTTTATTACTGCATTGCTTAGGCTGATTGGAACTGAATGACATGCTCATTCACTGACAAAAATCGTAAGAGATGATGTTCTAAATGTAGAGCCAATATCATAAGCAAGAATGACTACAAAAATATTAAAGAGTATTATTTTAACTACTGGAGTTTTCCTAAATTATATTCATAATATAGCTTTTATCAGTTACATTACTGAACATAAATTAATTTTATGTTTTTTATTTGCTGAGATTATAGAGATTGTTTACATGTAACTTATTGTGTCATTTGAAAGAATAAATTATTTTAAATAAGATGTACAATACTAAACAAACCCTTAAAATCTTCCTGATAAAAACACAATATTTTTTAAAACTGCAGAAAATATTTTGTGTCCTTTTAATATTATTATTTACAGTGTTGAAAGGAATTATTAATTTTACTTAAAAATTAAAGTGGTATTTTAGTAGTTTTTAATTCCTCTAATAAATTTAAAGGTAAAACTAAGCTGAAATTCATTAACGTTTTAAGGTAAATCTAAATATGGTGTTTTGAATATATGACCATATCCTACATATTTCAATTTATGTCCTCAATCTTTAATGTATCCCTTTGCTCCCCCCCATCACGTATTAGCAAATGATAACTTTATAACAAATATAACAGAAATCAAGCACATAAAGTGCTCATGACTAACTTGGCAAGTATTGATAGATGTGTTCAAAATTACTGACTTTAAAAAATAAGTTTCTTCGTTATTAAATTCATATGTATATTCTTCATGAATTTTTTCTTATACATAAAATAAAAGGAAATGTGACTGTATTTAGGCATTTTGAAAAACCTAAATGTTTGCATACACCTAGTTTCATGTAAAAATTGGTTTCTTGCAGTTTTTAATTTTAACCTTATCAATCGGAGGTATGAAAATCAAAAGTGCTTGGTATAGACAATGATCTTGTTTGTATTTTTAAGCATATCACCATTTTTTTGTCATCAAATGACGGTGTCAGTCCCAGTAGGCTTTTTTAGAGCTTTACAAAAAATAGTTAAATATGGTTACTTCTCTGAACATCAAAGTGTACATTATGTTCACTATAAAATGAAATGCATGTTTACCAAAAGAAAAACTGCAACCTCAATAATTATTTAAACATTCTGATTAAAAGTAAGTAATTAGTGTCAATTTTTAGCTTCTTTAATAATGTAAGGGACTTGCTTTTTTATTTAGAAGATGCAAATATTTCTATTTGTAATACTAAATGACACAAATACTAAAAACTATCATCATATGAATTTAGAGGGCAAAATAGTCAGGAATAGTTTGGGTTTATACTTTGTATTATTAAATTAGCCATAAAATTTACTATGCCTATTATGTTACAGCCATGATGTAATTTTAAAGATAATTGTGAGTCTAAGATGATGTTAAACACTAAAAGCTAATAAAAAACAAATTTAGATGAGCGTATAAATAAAAACAACAAAATAGCAATTTTTCTGCCAATTTTCTGTCCAGGTCATACTTCAACCTAAACCCTAAATTTTGAGCAGTGTAAGCTGGTTAAAACATATAAATAAAAATAAAATTGTTATTAAGAATTATTTCATTTCACATATATAGATAGACAATATGCAAACAAATCTAAATTTTCCTGGTAAAATAATAGATTCATTCTTTTTATTTGTAGCAACACATATAACAGCTAAGAAATTTCATAACCCCAGAAAAGAGATTTGCAAATCAAAATACCAGATTCTTAAGAAGTGCAAAATTTGCAATAAAATGTATGCAGCATTAATATTTTATTAATAAAATTGTTGCCAAGGTTCTTAAAATTAAAAAAAAACATTAAGTGGAGAAAGACATTTGTAGGTGCCTAAAATTCCAATTCTTATATGTAAGCATAATTTCACCAAGATTAGCACTCATTAAGAACAAAGGAAGGTGAGATGATTTTTCTGCTATATTTGAAGTAGCTTTACCTGTTAATATGATAAAAGCAAATATCTGTATTTATTTAGAAATAAAAATTTTAATTAATCATACACCCTTCCACTTTTTGCCTTGAAATTATTAATAATATATTTCTATATGGTAATGTATTTCTATAATGTATATTCTTAATTTAAGTGAAACAATAGTGAAATATACTGTTTAAAATTTTGAAGTTTTACTTTCTGTAATCAAATTTGAAATCCAGAATTCAATTTGAGAGACAAAGACCACATCATAATGCTTACTTATTAAAATTTGATTTTAGGCTATTTTAATTCACTAACGTGTGGATTTGTGAATTAAACTTTAGGATTTTAGCATCCAAATTATACCTTGGATAAATCAATGCTTTCCTTTCTTTAAGTATTTGTACTCTCCTTGTATATTATAACTTTAAAAAATAAAGCAAAATATCAATGACTTATAGGGAGGTATAATTCTTTGGATCTGAAGTACTAATGTACTATATCATGCTGAGGTGATAGAATTTCTAAATAATTTAAAAAGCTAAACACAATACTTCATAAAACACTATTTAATCACTGTTGTCATCACAATGTATGCATCTGAGGAAAGACCCACTCCTTTAATCATATGACTCTTGTTAATGCTCATTATCATTGTCCCCACAAGCAGCCATGGCCTCAATGCATTCAATCCACGCCTTTCACATTATATATAAAAGAGGCTAAAATAAATGTTCTTCTGGTTTTTTCTTCCTTTAAGTTTTTAAAAGCATTTTTTCCTTCCCATTTCATAAGTCATGAAATAAATGATACATCTACAGTCTGACTCATTGTTTGTTTCTAACTTATGGTTCCACTAGAAGATGAAAGAAAACATTATGTAGGATGGATTTGCTATGCAAGATAAGTCATCTTTTGATTGAGCTATTATGAGTTTCCTCTTTGTAAAATACTATTTACGTGGTTTGACCAAGACATTGAATTGCCAGTAGTATTTATCCATTAACTAAAAGGAAAAGATCTCTGCGTAGCAGAGAATAAATGAGATAATTTCATTCCTAAAATCTTCAAAGGAAATATATTACAGAATCTCAAAGAGTTTTTAAATGTTCACAATGATTGTATAAAATAATTTACTTAAAGAATATGGTCTCAATTTTGAAACAGCTGAGTACAATTATCAACGTCTTAACGTTAGAAGAACCCATTATTTTAAATAAATGAAGAATATTGCTGTATTAGATATGTTTCCATAAGAGTTTCTCTGATTCTGATCAAAGACTTGAATCTATACCAACATCTTACTAAATAGTGTTGAATGCTCAAAGTGACGCTTGTACGGCTTTCGGGAGATGGTTGAAGGTGTTTAATATCCTATGATAAAAGGGCCATATGCAATAATGCTGTTATCAATAAGAAAATGAGATCTCTCAGTGACGCAAGTGTCAAGAGAGTTCTTCCACCTTAATTTAATCCTTCAAAAGACACAGAAATCAAGTAAGCAAGAGTGAAATATTCAATGGAAATATGAAGAACACTTGAAAAAATGTTTTTTTTCCCAACAAAAGCAAAAGTTGTGTTTTATTGTCAACAACATCATAACACAGGAACCCTTTTCCTGCTAAGTATATTCATTTTTCCATACTAAAGTGCTGCCTACATCCAACGTCACTTTTTCCTTGTTTCCAAAAACAACCTGAGCTCTATTTTTACCATAAAGTATGGAATGTTGAACTTTACCTCCTCAAAGAGAATACTTTTACACAGCCCTTTGTGTAATACTTACTCAAATACGGTGGTTTGTAAGGCGCTCGCGTATTAGACAGCAGTCCGTCCAGCTCCTTCCTCTCCAGGGTGCTGTGAAGGGCCTTCTCTTTGCCAAAGGTGGAGAAGGACCGCTCTGCCCCAGGCTGAGCTTCCGGAGTTTCAAACACCTCAGTGTCTGGAACAGAGTCCATGCCGGGAACGTGCAGATTGCTGCGATAATCAGCAGCCTGGCGTCCATCAGAGGGGACAAAAGAAGGCATCCAGCACCGATCTGAGTGGCCCAGTGCTTTACATTCCTCAGTGCAGTTGGAGAAGAGATCCATACCTGTAAGCAGAAAAAAGAAACTACAGACGTAGTCTTCACCAACGCGACTAGCTACTCAGTGGTGAAAGATTACGGGTGGCACACAGTGATGGGTGAAGGTATCTTCACACATTTTTCTTGTCTTAACCTGACAGGATCCAAAAATCTCTTTGCCTCATTTTGTTCATCACTTTAAAAGGAGAAAATGACCTGCAAGTGTGAAGGGTAAGACTCTTCTGGCAAAGACGCCTCTGAGTTAGATGTTTCTAAACTACTCAGGGTATTGGGGAAAAAATGTTGGCTCCAGACAACTTAAATAACTAGGAAATGATGAGTAGAAAAAGAATGAACATTTAAAAAAAATCTCTCGTGAAGTCTGTAACGAAGAGAAAACCCAGGTATAAAGGCCTCAAAATCCATATTCCCTAACAATAATAAGTCCCCTGACTTTTTTTTCTTAGAGACAAAAATGGAAGAAATATGCCAAGCAATAACAATGATATTTGCATTGTGAAATCTGGACATGAAACAAAAAGTGAAATTTCAATAGAAATATGACATACACACAGAAAAACCAATAAATGACAAGAATGAAACAGGATTTCACGAGCAGCCAAAAACATGCTCTCTTAGATTCCTAGGAAATGACTTCCTAAAGGTGTTTCTCAATGACACTCTGGTGGTCCATATTACTATAAGCCACTTATCATTTACCACCTTAGACAACCACAGAACAAATGACTGTAATTAGTGAAACCAAGGTAACCAAATGCAGTGTAAATCAACTGCAGATACTATTGACAAACACCTTATTACTTGTTCTATATTGGAGCACACTTATCCTGGTCAACACAGAACTGTTTGCTTACTAATCCTATAATACCAAGATTTCAAATGACAACTTCAAATTTCATTGTCGTTCTTAGATTGACAAGATTAACAAGGATCATCTGATGATGGTCAAGAAAGGTCATTTGATTTCTTAAGCAAAGCATAAAACATTTTTAGCACTACAGAATACTATTTGATATTATACTGATATATATCACTATAGAAACATGTAAACAAAAATAGCATTTTAATGTTTTTCTAAACATAATTACATATTAAATGTTTTAAAATAAGATCAGTTTGAAAAACCAAAATATGAGATATTAGTCTGTAGAGAAGAAATTTGCAAAAGCATGCCTAATCTGGAAAATGTAGGGATTTTTGATTTTTTCTTTTTTTAACCAAGAGAGTAATATTTACTTAATGAACATACTTGATTAATTGGTTCCTTTTATAAGTATCACAAGTGATTTGTGCTCTTGAGCAAGTTTTAGTTTTTAAATTACTGATGGTATTCTGTTATATATTAATTTATGCATGTCTGTGTATATGTTAGTATTGGTATATATTAAATAAATATAATAATTTTCAAAATTATGAACTCTCTACATTATCCACAAGTATTTTGGAGTTAAGAATGGCTAATTACATACATTCTATTTAAAGAAATAACACCAAGTTTCTTATCATATATTAATCTCACTGCATAATGACTTTTTTATTATAAATTAAACCACATAAAAACTAAGTCTGACTTTGATTATAACATTCCATTGATAATTGTCCTGTAGAAGTCTGGAAATAAATTACTGATCAGTGAACTGCTGAGGAACAGAAACGTGAGCTGAAGCTGGGATTCAGGAATCTGACTGAGAACAGCATGGAAAACATGTAAATGTTTCACTAGACACTAGAGAAGCTCAGTCCTTTATCCTATTTCTGTAATAAGGTATGTAGTAAGCAAAGAGAAAGGGAAGGAGAATGTACCTGTAATGTCCGCATTTACATACCAAACAGGCAAGGGCTACAGAACCAGAGAGGAGATTTATATCTCAACACACGACTACAAAGGCTGCCTATTTAACAGACCGATAAGGGAAAAAAGGTTTTTTTGATAGTAGAAACTATCTTTAAGAGTAAAATTATTATGAGCAATTATTTATTTTTAAAATAAATTTAAGTTATATTAAATTTACAAAGTTGATGGAATTATACACAAATATTAAGATAGAATTGTTTTACTGGGTCCCGATAAAGATGGATACTAATGCAAAATTTGTAATTAATACAATTTTTCTTCACATGACTGAGAAATGTCAAATATGCCAAATAAAACCATACACAATCTTTCACATCCTTCTCTGCACATATGTCCAAGTACTCTTCTAATTCTGCATATGACGATTTCACATAGAAAATTTTAATGAACCGGTATGTCAATATTAATGTTAAGATACTGCTTGATTATCTTAGAAGTGAATTTTGATAGAAGTTATTTTTATAGGTAGTTTATATTCAATAGTGTCCATTTTCTTCTCTTGCAAGTCTGTGGTCTTTCTGACTCTTTTAATTATTTGAGTCTGGTTAAAATTCCCTTTGATGATGTAATAAAGTTTGCATGAATTGAGAATGTGTATTAAAAAAATATAGCATGTGTATAACAAAAAAAAGTGAAGAATATAAAGAAGTTTTTTGTTGAAAGAACAATATCACTTGACAGGAGGGAAGAAACTTGTAAATAATGTTCTTAATAAATTTATAGAATAATCCTTTTAAGATGGAAATCCCTTAGTAATAATATACAGCTTTATAAAACTAGAATGAAAGGTAAGGTTCAAATTGTGCATGGATGTCTCACCAGTTTTATCGAAAAGGTAAGTGTATCTATTTCTCATGAAGAAAAATCAGACACACAAAGCTAAAAATATATAAATACTAAATAAATAAACTTCAAATAAGTAACAGAAAAATTAATTGAAAATGGATTTTCATTTGTCCTTCAGATATATAGTTTGCAAGCCACATAAATTCATTCCATTACCAGTTCTCACCTTAGGGACCGATTGTATGACTTACATGATTTTATCTTCTATCATTTACCACTAGTTCCATTGAATATATTGCCTTAATTGCCAAATAAGCATAGCGTATTTAAGTTTTTCTTTGTGGTAAGTGACTCCATGATGCACAGGGATGCCAGACCTTACAGTACTTGGGACATATTAAAATGTATACCGTTCACATTGCTCTTACAATTTTTGAATGGCTCAAATTCAAGGCTCAAGAGTTAGTAAGTTTAACTTAATTTTTTTTTTCTCATTCAAATGCCTTTACTATAGAACCTATGGGATTTGCGTAACAGAAAATTACAAGCCATACCTCATTTTTACAATTTTGCTAATTTCTAAGAAATGTTCCAACGTATATTTTTTACTTGCAATCTCTTTTTCTAGTTATTTATTTTTTCCACTACTCAGAAATAATCTGTTCTGCAAGGCATGACAGCTGATGTGATAGACGGCCTGTTATGCAAAGATATATTTAGACAAATTTTAAAATATATAGTTTTCAATTGGCAAGTAACTTGTCCCTTATAGTCAGAGGTAATGGATATTTCCATTGAGAACAATCATGATTTTAAAATTATTACAAGTGCATTCAATTTATGTTGTCTTTGATGAATGTAATAATATAAAATTATGTTCACATTTCTTTCTCATGCAACAAGCCTTCATAAAAAAGTTTATTTTTTCCAAACATGATAAATTAATTTTAAAGAAAATCAACACTCTTAATTTTTGAGAAAATTTCCTGTCTTCCTTTAACTACTTAACAATGAAAAACTAAGAGATATTAATTGTAACCACAAAAACTGCTACAGGTTTTAAGAAAATATGGTTTAGGAGCAGATATTTATCAACATAATTCACTAATGAAGAAATCAAAATATGGACATCAAAATTTTTTCCCTGTCTATTATCATTCAAAATGTTTGTATTTTCTCCATTTCTCTCAATATTTCACTCATATATTGTTTACAGTTATAAATCTCTCCACATTTTCAAGTTGTAGCTCAGAGATTCACCAGAAAACTGAAAAAGCTTTTGTAAACACTGGTGTAAATTCACTTTATTTATAAGGTCAGCCAATTTGCCAATATCTAAATTTTTACTTAAGTTGAGAAAGGGATATTTGTATTTTATGATAAACCAAGAATTCTCTTGCTGCTATTATAGTAGAACAATCGTTTAATGCATTTCATGATATACTTATCTACTAATCTGAAAATACTGCCAGTCAAATCACTTTATTTTTAAAATTTATAGCCAAATTTTGATCATGTATGATGCATAAATCTCATAATAGTTAATAACTAAACACATTTAGAAGATAAATTCCCTTATAACTGAAAGAAAAATTTATAAAAGAGAAATTTGACAATTTCAGGTAAAGTAATAAGAAACTTAATCACTTATTAGGGTTCTCTCCAACATATTTTTAAAACAGGCAAAAGGTATTAAAATAAATTCATAATTAATATTATTCACTATGTAGGTATTCCATAATTGGAAAAAATATCATCTTAATACTAAACAGATTTCATTAGACATACTTGAAATAATAGTAAAAATTTTTAAATGTATCCTCTTCTAAAATACAAAAAAATTTTATCTTTTAGTCTAATGACATGGTAAATAAAATTGAAAACACATTTCTTTAAAGTCTACTTTTTTTGCTATTTAAGCGGTGATCAATCAGTTTTTCCTCTTGTGATGGTTTATGTATGCATTTACCACATCTTGGACTTCTGCCATATCTAACCAATACATCAATAGAGCACTGAAAAAAACGGAAAGCACCTTGACAAGGCTATAGAAAGAAAGTGCCACAGAGCAGTGGTCAAGGCGAAGAATTTCACACATAGAGCCAGGTGCAGTGGAAAACTGAAAAAGCTTATGTGATTCTCTGTGCAGCTGCCTCCGTGTGTAAAGCCCTTCAGTGAACAAGGTTGGTGACTGCAAATGGCTCATAAAGGATAAAAGCAAGAAGGGAGGGGGGAAGAAAGAACAAAAAAGAAAACTGTTCATAAAAGAATAAATAAAAGACATATCTAAGTAAATAAATACAAAGTAATGTTAACATAGAAAAAGAAACGAAATAAAGAAAAAGGAAGTTTAAACAGGTGAAGCACTACACTAAATAGTGTATATAATATAGTATGGAATGAGGTACAAAGTGAAAGAGAGAATTCAAAATTTCTACCTTTCCAATGTTATTTTTCCTAGATAACCTAACTTCTTCCCCCTAAAACCTAGTTAAGCTGAATATGCTTATTGTATGAAATTTTTTCATATGCAAAATCTAGAAATAGATGTGCTATGAATAATAGTACCTAATTTTGTAAAATTGGAAGATCATCACCTGGATTTACAAAGAAATAAAACAGATTTATTTGAAATGGCTTTAAATTTTTTGACATATTCTAGCCACATGGTGCGAGGTTTGTAGTACAACATCAGTATGGACTGAAAAACAAGCCATTAAGTAAATGCATTTTAATTGTCTGCATTTAGAGTTTTACATTAAAAAAAGGAAACATTTCAAAATCAGTCTTACAACAAAATTAGACATATTACATCTCATTGCAATTCAGCATACAAAGGTGCAATTACTTCTTGATATAAGTGCTTTAGTACAATCCTAAAATAGCTATTATTGTGCTCAGTATGTCGTGGCTGCCCTGTAAATACTAATCACATGCATAAATGGATTGGTAATTCTATAATACTTTTACATGTTTATGAACTTAAAGATATGAAAAAAAATTACCATTTTGATAGAGAAAAATAAAAATCACCTCACTTTTAAAAACTGTTTTCCAGAACGTATTTTAGCATTTTAATTTTCTTTTAAATGCTTTGATCTCTCAAATAGTTGAAAGAAACATTACCAAATGGCAACAGAATGCCTGCGAAATAAAACAGCTACTGGGAAGACCCATTGATAAGAAAATATTCCTATCTATCTTCCAAATTTAGCCCTTTTTGCAGATGTTTATCCGTTTCTCTTTCTTCAGTTAGGTTATTATGGATCATTATGTCTGAGGAACTAAACTAATTGAAATGTTCATTGAGATTGGAGTGCTACAGAAAAAACAAAGGGGGGTGGGTGGGAAAGGAATAAAATGCATCCAAAGAAGCATGCAGCAGATACTCTCTTTTTTACATTAAATATTTTGTTTTAAAAGCTTTAAAAGGCTGAAGATTAAATTAAAAAGTCTGGAAAAAGAATAGGCATGAGCAATTCTAAATGTATAGTTTTTCGAAGATAATAATAAATCATATGCCATATATAGGGCAAAAATGAAAGAGACTTTGTACTCACATATAAACTTCTGGCAAGATCTGGTTTGTTGTCAGGTTCCCAGACACTAAATAGATGCTCTGTTCACTTAGCGTGAAGGCCCGCAAGGGGCAGGGACCTCCGGGGATTCTTGGCAGTTCTCAAGTCTCATTAGGTCTGCATATTAATGACTCGCAGCAATATAAAGAGACCCTTGAGCAGCCTTTTTTCCCTTCCTCCTGCTTGGGTTTCCCAAGGCTAAGGCAGCCACAGACACAGCACACATTAGCCAAGTGAGAGGCTTGTAGCAACCACTGGTGCCAGGCCACCATGGGGTGTACACTGCCCTTTGACACAATGCCTCAGCACCGTTCAGAGGTCCATCAAGTGTGTTAAGAAAAGGGTGCTCTCGAGGACCACTATTACCTTGAAAATAAGAACTCTTATCAGTCGATTTTTGTGTTACTAACCAAAATAAAGGTCTAATCTCAAGTGAGCTGAGTTGAACCCAGAGACAGTCCAAAGATGGAAAGAAGTTATAGAAAGTTGACTAGCCTTTCCATTTCCTCATGTGTCAAGTAAATACAAGACTAGATAGAAAGAGTAAAAAAATCAACAAATACCCTTCATACACAAAATCCAAATGAAGTGAAAAGAAAACTAGAAGTTTATGAAATCATTTTCATTTTAACATACATATTTTATTTCAGGTAAGGGTTTTCTTTTAGTATTAGTTACGAGTTATCAGGATCTTATGAAACGTAAAGGTTAAATTTATATAGAAAAGATGAAGTAAAATAAAGTAAAAAATATAAATCACATTACAACCCCCATCATTGACTACAATTAAGTTCACTGAAGCTCAGATTTCAACTTTGATAGGTTCATAGACTTTTGAAAATATGAGGATACCTAAGACACTTCAGAAAATACACCTTATCACGTTTCCCAATGTCCTGAAGCCCAAGGACCCAAGATTGGAAACCCTGCTTTCAACTTATCAATGGCTATTAATCACTGTTTCTTCTCTCTTTCAATACTTGGTGGTATGCAAAATGCATTGCTCTGGAAGGCAAGAGATTTGGATTCTACTCCCCAGTAATTAATTTATCCTCTTATGACCTTATGCAGGTCAATGAATTTCATTCATTTTTTGCCACTTTATCCATAAACAAGCCTAATCATACCTTAATTGGCTGAAGACTGGGGATTGGATCAAATGAGAGATCTATGGCTTTTTTGTATGCAATGTAATTACATTAAAGAACATTATATAAGAAAGATGTATTTCGTATTCTAACATACTCCTTAGTGAGTTTCTAACTTTAACTCTCCAAAGGAACATTACATTTTTACAATTCTCTTTGATAAAATTTTCAAAATAGGATGACACTACAATTAAACTTACAGAAAATTACCTAGCACATCACCCTTCCTAGATTTATTTAAAGAAAAATAAAACTATAAAAGTCAGCATTTAAATCACACTTACCAGCTGACTGGGCACGGTTAGTAGCGTCATGATCACTGTCTCCCTGTTCACTGTCTCCATGACCACTGTCCTTAGAGCTTACTATGTCAGCTTCCTGGAACGCAGAACTAGAAGTGCAAAAATGAGATTATTAGAATATAAAAAAGGTGAAGAAACACAGAAAATATTCTTCTGCCACCACATGGTCACAGATGGTGCTGCAGACTCATAGACCTGTTGGTTGGCTTTATTTCTGCATCAAGCTAAATTTTATAACCTAAGCCTATCTAACTCTTTAAAATGGAGAATTAGCAGTCAATTTGAGTACTTAAGTCATGTAAAGTTTAGGCATTATTCTATGATTGGAGCTAAGTATATATGCACATCAGTTTCATAAAGGAGATATAAATATACACCTGCAACATTTAGGAAGACTATTAGAAGCCATGTAGGAGTATAAACTGACAAAATATTCAAATATATTTTGTAAGTTGCATATAAGTGAAATAACCCTCTTTAATGTATTGTCTAGGAAACGCAATTATAGTCAGTATTTATGTCCTGCCCTAATTGAAAATACTTTATATATTTTATATTTTAATATTGGATAATATACCTACTTCCTATTTTTACTAGGTTGTGAATTGGCCATACACTAAGCTAGGGAACAAGAGTCCATACCTGTTAACTCGGCGAGGTCTGTCAACTAGATAGCTGAGCTCTGCTCGCTGGTGTTTAGTCTAGGAAAAAAAAATAAATAAATCAAGAGCATTTGAATGCTAAGGGCTTCCTAGTCTGCTTTTGAGGTTTGAGACTATATTTAGCTTAAGTAATTGTATACACTTTTATGAATTTCCAAGCTTTCCTAAGACTTCCTTGTCGTGATTGCTGGGTAAGGGTGGGGTAGATATGCAGAGACACTTGAATCCATATCTCAGTCACTTGTAAAGGTTAAAAAAAAAAAAAACAACAAAAAAAGGCCAACTTTAAATGTTTTTTTTTTTTAAGGAGAGAATGCAAATGACCTCATAGTAAGGGCTAATAAACTATTGTCTCCAACAGAGTCAACCTAGTTATACTCTGCAATCTTTCAGTTGCCTAAAAAAGTGTTTAGGTGCATACTGGTTGACACAAGAAAAACAGCACGCTCAATAAGCAAAAAGTTTGGATATTTTATGGAATTATGTTGTCGTTTATTTTCAAAATGTGCTTAAGATACAAATGAACTGTACAAATATTCATGAAAGTCAAATAATATCTAAGACTCAAATAAAATAACCTGCCAAGAAAGGAGTTCATAATTCTGCCCCCTCCCCCCCAATTTTTTCCCTTTCCAAGGCCCTCTGCATTCTCCTCCCCACCTCCGCCACCCACACCTTTTCCGGTCCAAACTTTCACAGAAACCAACTCTGTTCTCGCCCCCACCCCCACCCTCCAACTTTGCCACTTCTCCATCTTGTAAAAAGAAATCGGAATTGACAAGCCAAATTCTTTTATGAAAGAAAGCCAACAGCAGTGATTTATCCAAAACAGTGGCAAGAAAGTGATTATTAGCTAAAAGATATATTTAAGACAACAATTGTTTAAGCCTTTCATTAGTTTACTCTTACAGGGGGGTTGTGCCAAAGCAACTTCATTCAAATTCACACTGTGTGGGCGCTTGGCTTCAAGAGCGTCTGTAAATGCTGTCCAGAGCAGAACTGAACGCTTTTTTTGCAACCCGAGTTCAGAGGACAAGGATCTGATAACTTGTTCACTAAAACATGCATTTGAGTTTAGACAGCTGTGTAAAGTTAAACAATCTATAGCTTACTTGTACACGCGACTGAAAGCATCGATAAACAAAACAAAATAAAATCAACTTTATTAACGCCTGGGACAGACGCAAAGAGGGAAAGACCTTTGCCAGTGCTAGAAAATCCCCCCCACACACACACACACATTTCCCTCTCCCTTCGCGCACTTTTTTCTTTACCCCCAGGTTTCTGAGAAGGGAAAGGACTGACCCGGGTTAAGATTTTAAAGGGAAGATGGGAGAGCGAAGGAGAGAGGTCCAAGGTGGCAAAGTACCAAGGGGAGGGAATGAAAATTAATGCAGAAGGGTGGAACGCAGAGAATTAGGAACAACGCGAAAGTTAGGTTACACACGAAGAGGTGGGAGAGGGTGACCCCCCATCCCCACCCACACAACGATACAAATAAGCTAATATCCTAAAAATAAATACACAGTGCACCAGAGGTACAAGGGCCGTGCTAGAGGAGGCTTTCTGATGGAGGAGATGAGAGATGGTGGTCCTTTCGCTTCAGCCTTACCTCGTTGGACAAAATGCTTCCGTTGGAGATGATGTCGGGCTGCTGGTCGGTGTAACCGGTGACGATGGCCCCGCAGGGGTTGTGCTCAGTGTCCGTACTCCGGGAAGGGCTGCAGGGCTTAAGGAACATCAGATCGGTCTTGGCGGACTCCGGGGTCAGGCAGACCTGGTAGCAGTAATTCTGGTTGTGGTGGTGGGAGCCAAAGCCCCCGGACTCCTCCACGGGCACCTGGGCAGGGTTACTGGGTACGTTGGAGCTCTGCACCAGCATAATGTCCGACTTGCTGAGTTTCTTCTTGCGCGCCCGGGCTTGGCGGCCACAGCAGGTCGAACCTCCACCGCCGCAGCAGCAGCAACAGAGGCAGCAATCGCTGGCCAGACACGTGTAGATGTTGAGCTTCTTCTCTTTTTGGCAGCGGACGGCCAGCACGATCATGGCCAGCAGGAAGATGAAGGACACTGAGCCCAGAGCAATGATAAGGATGAGGGTGAGGTCTAGCGAGGTTTCCCCGCCGCCAGAGCGGCTGGGTCGCTGATGCTCCCCTGACCCTCCTCCTCCGCCCCCGCCCCCGCCCTGGGGCTCCACTGCTCCATCCACCAGCTGAACGACCAGGGTGGCGGTGGAGGACAGGGGCGGCTGCCCATGGTCGCGCACCTCGATCACCAGCTCATAAGGCCGCTGGGGGTCGCGCTTGGCCGGAACTCGGCGCGCTGTGCGGAGCTCCCCGGTGCGCCAGTCCATGCGAAAGAGGTTCATTTCGTTGCCCCGCACGATGCTATAGGTGAGCCGGGCGTTCTCGCCGTCGTCCGCGTCCACCGCGGCCACACGGGTGAGCAAGTAACCCGGCTCTGCCGAGCGGGGCAGCACCTCGCGCGCCGGAGTCCCGTTGCGCCCTGGCAGGGGCGCCACGATGGCAGGGGCGTTGTCGTTTTGATCCACTATGAGGATGTTGACAGTGGCGTTGCCCGCCAGCGCCTGGGGGCTGCCGGCGTCCCGGGCTTCCACCTGAAAGCTGAAGTCCTTAAGCTGCTCGTAGTCGAAGGAGCGCAGGGCGTACAAGTAGCCGTTCTCAGAGTTGATGGACACGTAGGTGAAAACGCTCATACCCTGGATCTGGCACTCGAGGATAGAGTAGGCAAGCTGGGCGTTGGCGCCCTCATCGCGGTCGGTGGCGCTCACCGCGTAGATGTAGGCGCCCGGCACGTTGTTTTCAGTCACATACACGTCGTAGACCGGCTGGCTGAAGCGCGGCGCGTTGTCGTTCACATCTGACACCTGTACCTGGATCGACTTACTGGTGGAGAGCGCCGGCTCGCCCCGGTCCCGGGCCACCACAGTCAGGGTGTAGGAGTCCCCCGCCTCTCGGTCCAGGGGGGCTTCGGTCACGATGGTGTAATAATTCTTAAAGGAAGACTTGAGGCGGAACGGCACGTCGCCCAGCAGCTCGCACTGCACCTGCCCATTCTCCTCCGAGTCGCGATCGGTCACGCTGAACAGGGCCACCACTGTGCCGGGCGCCGCGCCCTCGCTCACCGCCTCCTTCACAGTGCTGAAGCTGATTTCTGGCGCGTTGTCGTTAGCATCCAGCACTCGCACCAGCACCTTGCAGTGCGCAGGCACGGCGTTGGGGCCCAGGTCCTTGGCTTGTACATACACTTGGTACACTGGGCTCTCTTCATAGTCCAGTTCGCCGCTCACCTCCAGCCGGCCAGTGCGCGGTGAGAGTCCGAAGAGCTCCCGTGCCCGGGGCGAAATGTGGCTGCTGAAGGAGTATACGACCTCACCGTTCTGGCCCTCGTCCGGGTCGGTAGCGTTGAGCTGGATTACGAGCGTGCCTGGGGGCGAGTTCTCTGGTAGGGACACAGTGTAGACGGGTTGGTCGAAAGCGGGCACGTTGTCGTTGGAGTCCAGCACTCGGATGGTGAGTAGAGCCGTGCCGGTGCGCTGCTGCTGGGGGGGCAGGCCCGCTCCCCCGCCACCTCCCCCTCCTTCTCCTCCCCCTCCTCCCCCGTCCACCGCGGTCAGCACGTAGCGGTGCACCGCTTGCTGCTCTCGGTCCAGTGGTTTCTCCAGCACCAGCTCGGCAAATCGGTTGCCATCCCCCTGGGTCTGCACGTCCAGGGAGAAGTAGCTGTTGGGGGTGATCTCATAGTCGCGCAAGGAGTTGGTGCCCACGTCTGGGTCGAATGCGCTCTCCAAGGGGAAGCGGGTGCCTGGCGTGGCGCTCTCAGAGATTTCCACGGTCAGGTCCGGCTCCGGGAAAGAGGGGGGGTTGTCATTAATGTCCAGCACCTCGATCTCCACCCGGAACAGCTCCAGGGGGTTCTCCAGGAAGACCTCCAGGTGCAGGACACAGGAGGGGCTCTGTTTGCAGATTTGCTCGCGGTCGATCTTCTCGTTCACGTACAGCACCCCGGTCTCCAGGTTGAGGTCTAAGTAAGGGGTCCTTGAGTTGGGCACCGTTTGGAATCTGCGAGCCGAAAGTTTTGTAATGTCCAAGCCCAGATCTTCAGCGATATTCCCCACGAAAGTGCCATGTTCCTGCTCCTCCTGTACCGTGTAGTGAAGCTGGGAAAAGACTCCTTCCACCATCCAGAGCAAGGCAAAGAATAATAGCACAATCATCTCCAAAAGGAAAGGAAGTAGCTTCCCGCAGCCAGTCAGCCACCCAATCACCTCCCCCACCACCACGAAAAAAAAAAATCTCAAAAAATACAAATAAAAGTACGCTACGTGGGGCGGGGGGCTCCTGTGGCTTTTTGTCTTTAAAATTCTTATTCCTTTTGCTTCATGTTAGAGCTTCCCCCAATGCAGCCTCATTTTTTAATCTTAGCGCAGGAAGGGTGACAGGCGTCCCCTTTCCTCATCTGTAATCTTCCCACTGACCAATTAATAAAATAATGATAATACAATAGTCAGCGTCCTTTATTCCGACAGTCTTGGCGCAACGCGGCGCTGGCAAATCCCAAAGAGGAAATTTCGATATTTCAAGACTGTCCTCGGTTTGTCTTCTTGCTGATGGGAGGAGAATGAGGAGGAGGAAAAGGAGGAGGAGGAGGAGGAAGATGAAGAGGAAGAGGAGAAGGAAGAGGAGATGCTCCTGGCACCGCTAAACATGCCTCTTAACATCAACCGCTGGCAAATGCAAAAGGGCTTAAAAACAGCGAGAGAATTTTGTGCCGGAAAAGCACAGAACGGCTCTGCAGCATAAAACTTTCATTCTCTTCATTTCTCCGGATGGATGTTCTTCTTGACATTTTTTTTCCTCTCTCTATTTGTATTTTTTGTCTTTCACCGTCTTGTCTCCCTCTGTCCTCATCTCCACCGTCAGTTGTCACTCTGTAAGTTTAATGAGCAGTTTCTTTTCTGTTGTTTCCTTCCCAAGCCTCTTTCCCTCTAACCTGTCTTTTTTCCTTCCAGTCTTTCCTTCCTTCTGCTTCAGCCTCTGAGCCTGTGATCTCGGCTGGCAGTTTCTGAGCTCCGAGCGCTCGGCTTCTCTGTTTTTGCGCAGCGCCCTCATTCTGCCAACCAATCACCCAGGAGCACCACCCACCGACCTGCCGCTGATTGGCCAAGCAGGCTGTCAAACAGACACGTCACGAGGCAGCCGGGCGAGGCGGAACAGAACCCTCGCCCGGGTTGCTGGGATGTGTGTGAGTGTGAGAGCGAGAACAGCCCCGCAGGTCCCGAGGCGCTGGCTGGGGACTCTGCCGCGGAAAGTTCCCAGTCCCCAGCCGCAGGTAATGAGCAGGGAATAGAGAGGTTCCCCTGTTTGCATCAGCAAATGCGAAAACATAATAGCAACAGCTGCGGTATCCTCTCCTAGGAGCGGGGTTTCCAGTGATGCTAACATTCTTTTTCCTTTAAGGTATTTTCCCTGCTACGGATCATGGAAATAAAGCACGGAGAAGGGGAAAAAGTTGTACAGGGGCCACTAATTGGCAGACGTTATCTAATTAAAGGACCCGAGCAGAGATCCGTAGGACATGTAAGAAATCTACATAATATGGCATGTGTCACTCTAAACGTGAGGGTCCGGAGGGGCAATGTGGAAAGGAGCGGAGCAGCTGGAGTGGGGGGTGGAAGTGGGTCCTAAAAAGCGGAGGGATTCATGCTAAGCGATGTGGACCGACAGCTTCTGTAGACGTGGAGAAGCGTTAGATCGTCAGATCATCTTCCCTCCCTAAATATTTATCCACAAAATTCTCAGCAAGTAGATTAACTCGCTTGGGGGCCTGGCTTTTAGCTGTGACTGCGCGGATCAATGAGGAGTTTCATTGGAGCTGCTTCCTTGGAGCCCGCCATCCTAGCGGCCGTCTCTCGGGCACTCGGCGCTGAGCACCAGCAGGCGCTGCAAAGCGCCTCTGATATCCCTGCGCCTCGTGCGGCCGAGTGCGTCGCAGCAGTTGGGAGCTCCGGCTATTTTCTGATTTTTTTTTTTTTTTTGACAACTGGAAACCTACACTCCCCACTCCCACCCCCGCATAGTAGACTGGGGCATCGATTTCTGCCCAGCCTGGGGTCAGCCCGCTCGATGAGGATGGCGGGGCGGATGCGAACGCGGGCGGGGTGGTGGTGAGGGGCCGTGCACACGCGGGGCCCGAGTGTGTGCCGCTGCGGTTTCCGTGAACACGTTTGCACATGCACGGTGCTCGCATGCATCCTCCCTGTCCGGGTGCTGAGCTTGGGTAAGCCCCAGCGAGCCTCCCTGAGTTTTGAAGGACGCGCTTGATCGACTGTGAGTGCCCACTCCCGAGGCGCGGGGGCAACGCGGCGCATCCACACATCCAGTTCTTGTGAAGTTACCATACAGCGCGAACTCTTTAATGCCGGAGAGTGATTTGAATGGCAATTCTCCAAAGAAAGATTATTTTTGTATATTAGAAAGATTTCATATATATATAAATTAATGGACTGTTAGCAAGGACTAGGTTGTTTATTCACTGAAGCAGCCCTTGTTCAGTCTCCTCATGTCACAAAATAGAAAGGTCCCTTGCTGCTTTCTGTTAATGAATGTCCCAAGAATATCACCACCACAACCTATTGGAAAAGGAGGGTCGTTTCCCCGATCCCGAGGTACGTTGCCATTCCCTTCTGTAGGAAATGAATGAGGGCGAGTATCCAGGGCATGCTTGTAGACTGAGGCATACCCCTGGGAGTGCCGTGAGTGCGTGTCTGCTGACCTGCACCTCTCCCCGCTCCCGCACTTGGCTCTTTCACGGAGGTAGGTCCTGCCTTTGAGCCTTTAGAAGGAAAGGAT